AAAATTCGTGCGTGTGAGCAATAGGTCGTCGTCAGCGTCACAGGTAGAGGGGATTCGGTTTGTGATGTGGTAAGTGTTACTTTTAAGCTTTTTTAAAAATACTTTATGAGCTTTCAAAGGAATAACTGAAGTCGGATGAATTTTTAATGATGTGAAATAGAATCGAGACAGAAAATAAAGTTTTGTGTTACTACTATCAAAAAGGATATATATATACATATATATATGTGCTGTGTCAGTTTAAGTGACACACTTATTTGTTGAAGGTGCAAGATAAAGTTAAAAATTCAAACATGACTGTTCAGAGTGTCAGGAAGCTGTGTAAATTTTTCAACATTTTATATTGGACAGTTTTTCAATCCGTGGAACGATAACATGGAAAACAGTAGACTCTTTTTAGGGTGAAATTCTTAACAAAATAGTATCTTGACAGTACAAGTTTTCATACGCATTTTCATAAAATGTCATCATAAATGTACTATTTTGGCTTGCACCGTGTATATTTAAATGGTGGGGAGAAAAGAGCACCGACTGCTAGCAACTTTACTTTTCATGCGGCTCCATGAGTTTTCATAAAATTACTTACACATGAAGGTCCTCTTAAAATTATGAGGTAAAACTGTGGGTAGTATTTTAGAGGTGCAGTTGGAAGACGAAACCGATATAGGTATTTCGAATTTTTCGATAACTTTTTGTTCGAGTGAGTCAAAATATTAGGATGGTTAAAAAATATATTTGTTTAGACGGTATATGTTTCGTTATTTAACTGTGATTGAACCCCTAGGGTAATATTTTCTATTAAAAAATCAGTAGAATTTTGGTCAACAGAGGTCACCAAAAACTAGGTTTTTTTGCAAAAATCCTTGAGCTGCCTTTACAACATTGTCCAACATTCTCTCACCCATACTAGTTTGCTTGATAGTATTATCATTGGAAAAATAAAGGCTATACTCTAACTCAACGGAGAGTCTTATAATATATAATTTTCCCTTTCCCGCACCAAGCCTTTCTCGATAGGTCCATTGACTGCACGTCCATTAACTCGCTCTTAGTTATAATGGACTCAAAACGTACGTACACAAAAAGGCATTAGAGTTTGAAAAAAAAATGTTTTTGAATCTGAAGCTCTTTTACAAGGAGTGTTTTTTTTCAGAATGAATGAATATACGAGTACACTTTTTCAACTTTTTAATCGCTGCCCTTTCGTGAATAAGTGCGAAACACGACTTTAATTATTTTAAATCCCAAATGATTGTCATACAAGGACTATACGGTTACTCTAACACCAACAACGTCCTCTCACTACAGATTTTTACTCACTCACGTTAATTACCAAGTTTTCCACTGTAACTTTTCCATCAGACGTAATTTCCACTCAACGAAATAGTAACCGAGTCTCGATGGATCGATAAAGGTTATTAAAAATGTCCCCGCCATCAGAGCAACCCAAAAAAGTCCATTAGCTCTAAAATCAAATCTCAAACAACACAGTCCTCTCTCTTCCCTCGATTTTCCAAGCTCCGGAGTCGCAAAAAAAAAAGAGGAGGATGCAAAAAATCACGGCACAATTTTCAGCTGCGTTTCACTGGTCCTCGACTGTGCTACTAGCAGGTGGCGCTCGGTAGTGGTTATACGTGGCCGCGAGTAATTAACGGCCGGCTATTACTATCGACGGCTAACAGTCGTGTGATTAACGGGACCCCTGGCCTCACCATCAAAGCTGCTCGTACGATTCTCCAACATGAGCGTGTGCGTGAGCAAGCGCAGGGGGGGGGAGGGTAGAAATATCAGTTCCAAATAACCTACGAGAGTATGGCTGAAAAAAAAAAATTTCCTCGATGAGAACTTATTTTTTTACCCCTTTTTACATCCTGGACGCAGCGATTGGTAGTTGAGCAGTGGAAAATTTGATTTTCCCTCCTGAATAAAAAAAAAGTTGAAAGCTAACCGGTGCATGATGGGTTGCTTCAACTCGTTAGAGAGTTTTTCGATTTTGGAACTGATCCACAGGAGGATGTGGGTGCGCTAACTGGGTCACCAAATAGAGAAGTTCGCCATTTCTCAAAATTTCGGCGATATTCCACATACTGAAACTTGTGGCGTCAATTTTCAAATCAAGTCAACCAAAACGATTCGGGCCTCCAATAACATGCTCCATATTCTACATCGCATCAAAGGCCCACTCTCAGTTACTGTGTATGTACACATTGATGCGTCAATAAATTTCACGAAGCTCGAGAACAATTCATAAATCTCGTCAACGGTGCAAAACAGTAGTCTAAATCCCTGCCGTCCCCACCCTAATTGATTACACTCCTCACTGTCTGAGCAAAAGTTCCACGAATGGCTCTCGAAAACAAAACTCGGCCACACTAGGGAGCAAAGTTACAGCTCGTCTCAATGAAGTTTGGAACGAAGCCTCGCAAACGCATCTCCCGCTGCTCGCTCGTGCAAATTACACATACAAGCCGGAGATAATCGGGACCCCCCATGAATGCTACCCACCTACAGGCACTTCCCCCCTGAGTATATAAAATATTCAAGAGCCTCACGCACACTTTTGCCCTGCTACTAAAGATCCTCCATTAAATTTTCGGCTCCTCCGTTTATTCTCTCTTTCGCCCATCCCTTTTTCGTTCAAGCGATTTAATATTAAACGATCCTCTGTTTGCACCGTCTACTCGTTGAGTACAGGTGCGTTTCTTTTGCTCGAATTAATTTTCCGCTATTAATGCACCTGTGCAAAAACGACTTTGCTACGAAATATCTGCTATTTGTTTAATGACACGCTTCCCTCTATTCACTACCGCGACATAATTCGTTTTCAAGAACGCAAACGTAGCATGGAAAAAGGCAAATGGTTTGCGGTTTTTAACGAATGAGCTCTCGGTAATGGTAATTCAAGCGAGATAATGTACAGCCCTCGCACGTTCACTCCATTTATACTCACCGCATCCGCTATAAGCGAGACGCGACCCCCCACATAACAAAGGGAGTAAACGTAACCACGATTCGTGAGAATTTTTAATACATCCCAGCATTGGAGGGGATGAGGGTATTGTACACCCTGAAGCACATAGTTTGTGGGCCTACTTTTACAAAGAGCACGTACAGAGATTATCCAAAATAGTGTTGGGCTGCGCTATCTTGTGGCCGTTAAAGAAAAATTTTAAAGTCATTCAAAGTCTATCAAAGACTTCAAAAGTTTAAAAAAGACTTTTGAGTCCACAGCCCCTCGCAAAATAAACAATAAGTCATTGTGATGGTACGGATGAAGAAACTCAATTCTGCATCATTCGTGACGAAGGTAGAAACAAAAAGACGAGCACGGCAATGATGAATCGTCGTACGCACGATACGGCACATACATATCGCGCACTGCCCGCAATTAATAGCAGATTCCGTCACTCGAGTCATTACCCCGTACGCTATCGAAACGAGCTGCCTTGACCGAAAGCGTCCACCCGCGCACGGACAATTTACAAATAACTCCTGGTATCAGCTACTGCGATAAGCAACGACACGCCGATAGACGGAACAAACAGAGTGAATTAATATCCATGAAATGACACCTCCCCCGTGGCGCTGATTTGCCAATACGCGCACGGGCTTTTGGGATTTATATCGTGCGAGGGGTACAGGTTTTGCGATGAGCCCCATCCCTCGCAGCATCACACGTTCATTTGTCTTTCGTCAGGAACGATGGCACATGCTACGTTCCGGCAAACACACATCTACGGGTGCCTCCGTAGATATTTACTGGTGCGTTTAACTATAGGCTGTTGCATGTGGGGTGGTGATTAAGTATTACGTATGGCTTGTAATGCGTAGGTGCGTAGGAGATCGGAAAGAGTAAAATGCGAGTGGACTGGCGTCGATGTGGGCCAATTTCCACGTTTATGACTCTCGTCGTGGATGAAAACGCGCCGGGCCCATGTATGTGTGCGTTATCGTGAAATTGGCCCTAACGAAGGAGGGCTCGTTTATCGCGAGACTCCCGTCGGTATGGGATCCAACAATCTGCGAGCACTGATCATCAACCTGATTGCCTTCGATACGTATACTATGGAAAGGTTGATGATTTTCCTTTATGTTGTTGTTGCAGTTTTGATGCAATTGCAGTTACTTGAGTCTTCCTGTAGGCCGTTTCATGATACTTTGTTAGATACATCATCACTTTTGCCTGAATAATCAATGGTATGGTTTGCCTATGGTACGACTAAAACATGAGAATCCTGACAAGTTTATGGCATGATTAAAGAGAGTCCATGGCTAGCACTGTTGGAATCTATTTAAAATGGGTAAAAAAAAGTTTTAATTGTGGTATTTATTATCAGTCTTCTTTACTGCTTTCAGTTGCTAAAAATTACAAGTAATAAATACCAGAGCCTATTTATAACGCAAAGTTATTTCTTTGTTCTTGAGCTTATATGTGTGGTAATTAGACGCAGACATTAATACCACCGTAATTACACGAAAGCATTGGAAGATATATTTGTACGTATATATATCTACGACGATTCAAACACCTCCAAGTAGTTCCTAGTGGAGTTTACAACACGTAAGTTACCATTGATTTTATCATGCACGTAAAGATAGAGATAACTATGACTCTCCCTTTCCTACATTTACTTTAACTATAGCTCATAGCCTGGGGACGAAAGAATAATAGAAGGCGAGCTTTCATTTTTAGTCAAAAATGCCACCTTTTTCGACCAAATTAAAATTTGCGCCTCTTTTGAAATCAATGCAATAAAAGGCGCTAACTTATAAGTTATATCCATAGGTATGAAGACTTAAAAACACAAAACCATTAGCAAAAACTTTATTTAAACGTTTTACTGTATTATATTTAAATTTAAGAAAGAGTCATTTACCCCTAGTGAAGAATGTCCACACCAAATCACTCTTAAAAGTTTTGTCACGTCTAGCACAATTTTCCAATAAAAAAGACAAGACGCTCAAAGCGCAGTACAGTCTTCTGATTCTAGGGTACTAGCAACACACATCCCAACCATGTCTTCGAAAATATTTGTGTGTTTTCTATTATTTGTCAGCCTCGATTGCGTTGTATCGTTAAAAATGAAATCCAACCCATTGAATGATACGGTAAGACTTGACACAAATACATAATTAGTAAATGTTTGGCGTTTCCTTTCTCATGTTATATAAATTTACCAAAACGCTAATTTTTATTTATTTTTTGTGATGATTTTTTTTTTTTTTTTTTTTTTTTCGTCACAGGATAAAAAAGCTTTGGCATTATTGGTAACATTATTGACACAATTCGAAAGCAGATTTGCATCAAACTGCGAACTACTGAAAAATAATATATACTCGGATATTGAAAAAATATCCAAATCTCAACATCCATACTCGCAGTATCCTTTTATTGACGAAATGCACTTACTGCTAAAATCTGCATTAAAGGCAGAAGAAAAGGCTATTAAAGAATTCAGTATACTTCATATAATCTACGAAGATTTCGAGAATAAAAACGACGATGAGCAAGTGAACATCCAACAGAGAATTAACGTTTTCAAGACAAAGATAGAAGATTCTGTCACCAACGTTTTTATGATATATCGAGATATAGATAACAAAGTAAAAGCTGAGATCACTCGAAAACATCTAGCTTGATCAGTCCCAAAATGACAGAGTTGTTAAATTAGTTGCCAGCTTATTTCTACTGCATGTATAATCGTATTCAAATTTGTTCCCAATTATTAAAACCCAATAAAGAGATGAACATAAACATTGACTTTTTGGTATCTGCCACACTCCATGTTTATAATTGCGGCAACTCAGCAGAACTTGTCGGATTGAGGCAATAACTCACGACACGTGTTATTGTACACACAGAAAAGGTTTTATTCAGAATTACGAGTTTGATGATGATCCATAACACAAAGAGTACGACAGTATTTTTTTGTCACACTTTATCTATTGGACTAACAGTCGTTTAAGCAATGATTTGTTTACAAAGAAAAATGTACGGCAGCTAGTACAGACGAAATAATTATAGAAAAAAATTTTAATTGTCCAAAACTCACGATATCATAATAATGTAAATATTCTATTGTTATAAATATTGTATGGTTATATTCATTAACGATGCCAAGGTGCAGAAAAGATAACAGAAAAACTTTTTTTTCTCATTTGCCTATTTAAGACTTATTGCTCTTATATTCATTACACAATTGATTCTTGTATTAAGACCACTAACTCCGATCCAAATAAAAAGTGCATCATATGTGTAGTTACCGGCAGATTTTTTGTAATTGCAATGTGAATACTTGCTTCAAAATCTATAAATAATAAACTACTAGCTTCAAAAGCAGGATAGTTTTTAAACTTCTTATTATAACGTTGATTCACACGATTGCGCCAATTCATCAGAAAGTAAAGAGAACACATATGGAGTAAAAACACTGTCACGTAAACCATGTATTGTAATAAATATCAAAAAAATTTTAGGTAGATGTTGGATGTTCCGTCCGCAAGTACAGTATCGATAGAGGACAGCAGTTGTAGGATAATTATAGCTGATGATAAAATGATGTGCTCAATACTATTATTGGCAAACGTAAATAGTGTATTTCTATGTTTAAACATTGAATTTCGAGTTCAATGTCCACTTGTAATTCTCTAATAATTAATCTTATCATTTTCCATTATTAGTCTGTACAATTAAATGCACCGAGAACCAATTTGACTATGCTTTCTCACGAGACAAATTATTATTTTTGGCACGACTGATACTCAGGAGTGCCTTATATTTTTGCCAGGGCAAAAAGTGTAAGTACTTTTAAAACTTATTGTTTTTGTGTAAAAAAAGTTTTGGTACAATAGTTATTTACGTAACAAGTGCGGAAAAGACGATTTCCCGCACGAGTAGTGATTGACTCACACGGAGTTGACGGGAACGAGTGCCAGTTGAGCACACGAGTGTGATCGCACGGCACGAGTTACTGTTACCGGCCATGATCGCGGACCTCGGTGGCAGGGGTGTATGTATGTATGCATGGGCGTAATCAAGATTTTTGATTAATTTATGCAGTTTTTGTCGGATTGGGCTGAAATTTGATAAATAGCTTCGTCTTTTATGTCTTACATGATGGTTGGAAATCCGTAAGGTTTTCTCTTTTAAAAAAAAAATGGCAGTCGCTCTAATATGGTACTTTCAGTGAAAAAAAAAATAGTTTTTTGGCTATGACTTCATAACGTGATTTTTTTTAGGTTTGCTGTGAAAGACAAAGTTGTAGCTTTACTTGAAATACAACTTTTTCGTATTTAAAATTTTCGTCTAGGATGTAACCCAAACGTTCTGTGAGCCAAAAAGTGCTCAAAAATCGCAAAAACGCAGTTTTTCCCTATCTAAATTATTTGTTTTGTACTTTAAATTATGATATTAAACGTAAAAGTTGTAGATCTTATTAGAATACAACTTTTTTGTGCAAAACATTTTTACCTCGAATGTAACGCACACGTTCTACGAGCCGAAAAGTGCTTGTAAAATAAATAAAAAGTCGTTTTCCCCCATCCAACTTTTTTGTTTTGCACTTGAGATAATACATTTTTCCGCCTTCTAACCTCAAAATAGCACCTTCACCGCTTGATTTTGGGTTCTCAGGTGGAAAAATAGTATACAAAAGTCGTTCGAAAAGGCTTCTTTACGAACCGAGAGGTTAGCCGAAGGCGAGAGGTTAAAGGTTTAATGTATCAAATCAGTGCCCTGAAGTTAAATAAAAGTTCATGGCCCGCGCAGATAAGTTAAAATCTGATTGCACAATCGTGTTCAGAGAGATCGATTTTATAAGGAACTATGATTATCTCAATTCTGACAAAAATCAAAAATATGACATATTATGGTCGGAAAAAATTAGCTGGGATCATTTAGTTGTCAAGATTTAATGATATCTATTCAAATCGGAAACTATTGTCTACTTTTTCTACAAATGCTTATCTGAATCAGTCATATAGCGTCAGTATAAATGATTATAACACCTGATATTTCTGGAAACTACATGCCAACTTGTAATATTATATTTCTTTTTTATAGCAGGTAGTACGAGATCTTTTCAATTTTTAATGTAAGATTTAATGAGAGATTCATCCTGATATATATATATATATACACGATGTTAAATAAATTTCTTCTAATTTAAATGATAAATAGAGTAGCAGCAAGCTTTTAACTGACTAATTGATGATAAACCACGATATCATAATTTTCCTAAGTCTAGCCATTCTGAATTGAGATTTTCTGAGAATTTCATAAGAAACGGGTCTGAGGAACTTTAAAAAATATTTAGATTATAGCATGCGGCTCAAAAAAGATTGAGAAACACGCTAGCTAAGTCTGCCTAACATTTAAGGATTTAAGAGATTAGATCATTTTTTCTTTTTTAAAAGAACTTTCTACTCTACTACAGTTATGCATTTTATGAATTAAAACAATGTGGTTTGTATAAATTTTACAAAATCCAAGTATAACTGTTTGTGATAAAACTGTGAACAAAGATTTTACAGAAATATTTACTAAAACTTCTTCAAATTTTAGATTTAATTTATTGTAACAACTAATGATTGACCTAAGAGTTCTTATAGCATGTAACGAAAGATACTTTATATACACTGTAGGGTATTTGTTATTCTTTAAATCCATTTTTTTAACTCCTGTCCCTTGAAAACTTACCTCTACGTCTTAAAGTGGGATCATTTTCTCTAAATACCTCATAATTTTTAGAGATACTTTGAAAATAGAAATGAAATAAAAAGTGCTATAAAAAAAATCCTATCCTTACAATATTAATTGTTACTGAATTAGAATCAATTAAAAATAAATTTCCCCTTTGAGTTCAGGGTTAATTTATTTTCGTCAATGAGTGCTGATAAGGCTAATTTTACACTTAATCTTTTATTGAGTAGGAAAATTGAGAATTTTTTCAGCCTCCGCTAAAAATAATTGGTCAATTGTATTTCAAAGGAGCCACATGAGCAAATCCTAGAAACTTTATTTTTTGTCCATGACAAAATATTTGATCAAATCACTATTTTCTACCCTCTCTTTTAGTTTAGTTGTATTCTATGGATATTATTATACATTAAAAAATCGTTCTACAGGTATTCGACGGATTTAATTATTTAAGTAGATAATTTAAAAGCAAAAAAGTGTCAAAAACGCTGAATTTTAGATTTACCTTTGATAAATTATTTTTTTTTAGTATGCTATAACTTTTCAAACAACTTTTATGATTTTGAAGTATCTATTTATATTTTTTTATGTTCGGAGCATTTTTTAAATCGTCATTAATAATATTTTCCATTAAACTACACTTCAAAATAAAATAATTAGTGCACTGGAATGAAAAGTGCTTACAAGTAATTGTCTAAATGTTATAGTTCCATCTCGATTTACTCAAACGATTATGTAAAACTAAGATAACAACTTGTTTCAAAATAAAAAAAAAATGTTAAGAGACTTTTTCTTCTTAAAATAAGCCGAATCTTACGAACAAAAATTTTCTGAGGCGAAATTCAATAAAAAATTTTTTCCTACCTCCGGCGTTTTTGAGAGGCTAGTGTGCTCTTGATAGGAAAAATAGGATTCGCCACATAAGCGCCACCGCACCGCAGCTACCTAACGCCGCTAAATAGCATCAGAGATAATGACATTTATCAGACGGGAACTACCATTTTTGTTTAAACCATTGCTTATAACCTTTGGTGCATTCAATATGAAAAAATGAACATACGTTAATTTGATTACAAACTTAATGACAAGACTTTACACCAAATTTCAATGAGAATGTTCTGAGATGTAGAGAAATTTTTATGCCTTAAATTTAAAAGTCTCAGGGATTTGCTCATGTAGACATACACTAGAAAGGTAGAAACGTAAAAAAAGCTTAGTAATGAAAAAATGAACTACAAAATTAGACAACAATACAACAGGCTCTGTTTAAGCAGGTACGTCGTTATCAAAGGCTCAACATACTCGGAGCAAAGATTTGTAGACTTACAGTTTATAAAATACTTAAAAAATGTCCAGGCGATAAATATTGTTTAAAAGATGAGGTTGGTTTGTTAAGTGAAGAATGGACTAATTAGCAATCGTAAATGTTGAAAAAATTAATTATTTCCTTCACCCTAAAATAAATAAAATCTTAAAGCAGCCTTATCATCCCCCTCTTTTGACAAAACTTTTAGATAACAAAATGTACATCTCAGTAAGTGGCGGCAATAAATTTTAGGGCTTTATAGCTACAGAAATTGTATTACAAAAATAATGAGCATCTGATTGTTGAAGCCAAAAAGTATTATATCGCTACATAGTACTTACAAAATGATAATGTAAGTAATTGTCCAACATTACAACCAGAGACGCTACTTACCTGGGTAGGGCTGAACAAGCATCGCCCTGTCCAGAGACTGACACAACTTATTAAAATTTGAAGAAAAAAATGTAAAAGCATATCACAACGTGTCAAAACTAATTACTTTCGTTGCCTTTCTTCTTATTTTCAGCTATTTAATATTATTAAAAACAAATACGAGAACCTCAGTACAGAACGACATGTGTTTTTGTCTTTTGGCTATGTTATTACGTGAAATAGCGAGTAAAACAGCCACTAATGCCACAGCTAGCGGTCGCATGCATTAAAAAATGTGTCTGTATCTTTTACGATTTAATCCTATTCAAATGGTTTTAAACAGAGCCTGCCATTTGCAATCGGCCTTACCTTCCAAA